GATGCAGTTTATTGACTTTTGCTACAAGAAAGCTTTTGGACTTAACTCTAAGGAGTTGTTATCATTGCGTGAGAAGTTGGAATCTCTTTTTCACGAGTATGCTTTGAAGCTTGATCATTCTGTCTCACCACCCACTTGCAAGAAAAAGGACAAGGGTAAAGTACCATATGGAATGGAAGTAGATGAGAAGGTAATATTTATTTTTCTTATATATTTACATTCTTGTACGTAGTAATATTTATCTTAGTAGTTACTAATGTTTTATATTTTTTTTTTCAGGAATTTGATGATGTTTCCAGTGATTTGTTTTATGATTCGAACAAAAAATCGCCCACTTGCAAGAAAAAGGACAAGGGTAAAGTACCATATGGAATGGAAGTAGATGAGAAGGTAATATTTATTTTTCTTATATATTTACATTCTTGTACGTAGTAATATTTATCTTAGTAGTTACTAATGTTTTATATTTTTTTTTTCAGGAATTTGATGATGTTTCCAGTGATTTGTTTTATGATTCGAACAAAAAATCACAGTTAGAATTGTATTTGGATGAGCCTAGAATAAAACAGAGTTATCAGTTGGATATTCTCTCTTATTGGAAGACAAATCAGTGCCGCTACCTAATTCTTACTGCCATGGCCCGTAATTTATTATGCATTCTTGTATCAACAGTTGCTTCAAAGGCTGCATTTAGTGTTGGCGGTCGTGTGCTTGATCAGTTCTATAGCTCTCTTAAACATGAGACTGTTGAAGCAATTGTATGTACAAGGGATTGGTTGTATGGAAATGAAGGTATATTCTTCAAGTTTTTCATTGTTCTCTTAAATATTATTACTCTCAGTCTCACAAATGCTAATCAGTAACTTTTTTTCCTAGATGGATTCAAAGTATTTCATGAAGATATGGATGAGCTCATCAACAATGTCGTTGATCTTAACATACATTCTGAAAAAACTGTCGACCAAGCTTCTAACTCCGGATGCGCTTGTTTTTATTTTTTTTTTGTTTGTTTATTTTTTTTTTTTTTTTTTTTTCATTTGAACTATGTGGTTTTAGGACTTTGTTATGCAGGTTTCATTTCATGTGATGTTTTCTTTTGCATCATGAACTTCTTTTGCATCATGGACTTCTTATGCATCAATGTGGTTCTCTTTTGCATCAATGTGGTTGCATCATGAATTTCATGTAATGTTGTTGCTGGAATTTTATTATCTATGCTTGGATTTTGGTACTTTGTTAAGATCTTTACAAAATGGACTGAAATCTACAATTTCGTGTCAATTTCGGTTCACCAGATTTGTGTCGTGTCTCGGGTTCACGAGTCAATTCGTGTCGCGTGTCAGTTTCAGTTCGTGTCGTGTCGACCCGTAACCTGACCGTGTCGTGTTCGTGTCACGGTTCTCAATTATTTTCGTGTCACGGGTCGTGTCCGGGTCACGTGAAAAAAAAAAATTGACACGGCACAAACATGACACGAACACGACACGCGACACGAATTGACACCCCTAATTGACATTATATAGCTCAAAGGTGATGGGCATAACTAAGGTCTCGTTCACTTCGCGGATTCGAGTTTTCAATTCGAGCTGAGATGTGATATTTTATGAGAGCTTTTTACTGTAGTAGAAAAAGTTAGATGTGATATTTTCTGAGAGCTTTTTACTGCAGAAACCTGAAACTGAAAACTCGAATCGGTGAAGTGAACGAGGCCTAAGATTGGTAATTCGGATAGCGATACGACTTGAAATCCGCACAAAATTAACGGATTTGAGTTTATTATAAATGGATTTGGGTCATAATTGAGTTGACACGATTAACACGATTAGTAAATATGTTAGATGAGGGTTGACATCTTAAAACGAAGTGATACGAATTGACACGATTAACTATATGCATCATCTATAATCTAATGATATGTGTTACAACATGAAAGTTTACATGACATACTAAATACAAATAATGTGAATTTTAATATTTTTAGGTAAAATTCATTTATTTTTCTTAAAAGAAAAGATAAATTGACCAATAAACATGTTAAACCTGTCAAGACTGTGTTAAATAAGTCATTATTATATTATTATTTATTCAATATATTAATTTAAACGGGTTATACGGGTTGACACGATTAATACGATTAATAAATGAGGTATGTTTGGGTTGACATTTTTGACATGTTTAATAAACATGTCGTGTTTGAGTTGATATTTTCTGACACGATTAATAAACAGGTTGACACAAATACGAATTACCACCCCTAAGCATAACAACCTATTTGGAGTTGTTGCATCCTTCACCGTCAACGTTGTCAAACACGATTTCTCATCATCATCTTCAATAACCCTACCTCCTCCATGTTCATATCCTTGACACCCCTTCCACATAAGGGTCGCCATAGCCCCAAGCTTGTGTTTACCCTAATGACACCCCCTCTGACATTCAGATAGGTTTTCCCTCTTTAGATGGCTTGCCATAATTTTTATATATGTTCTAATTTATACCATATATTTTTTATGGTTTAAATTTATACCATGTTTTGTTATTCTTTGACCAATGAATTTGTATGGAATAAATTTGAAGTTTCAATAACCATGGCATGAATATGAAGGTGATGTGTTTAGTGGCATCTCTCAAAATTTCTCCTTTTGTTTTTTTTTCTACATCTTCGATTTGATTTATTTTTTTATTTAGGGTCTGTTTAGTTCGCTGATTTGAATTTTTAATTCGAGTTGAGATATGATTTTATGTGAGAGTTTTTTACTGTAGCAAGAAAGTTAGATGTGAATGTTTTTGAGAGCTTTTTACTGTAACAAAACTCGAATTCTAAACTCGAATCGGTGAAATGAATGGAGTCTTAGTATCTTAGACTTTTATAATTCACATATATATATTTTTAAATAATTATTTTGTTAATGTGTTTTTTAATTAAAAAGGGCATAAGGGTTTATCTTGTGTCTAAAAAAAAAGTTTTGATTTTTTTTTTTTGAATTATAATAAGGCACTCCAATAAAATCATCTAAACAGATGGATACCATTTGATAAAGTCAAAAAATATAGGGTTTTTGAATGGAAACCTCTCAACTTTACGTCTTTGGTAATTTGGTCTTTAAACTTTTAATGTTGATAATTCACCTCTTAAATTTTGAAATTTATTGTAATGTTGGTTGAATTAAAAACGAAGTAAAAAACTTAGATGGTTTCTTCCATGTGGACACGTAATGAGGTTAATTCTAGTAATCTTGCATCGAATTGGTCTTCATACACACATCATGAGAGAAAGAATTTTTGAAATTAGAGAACCCTCAATTCTTCTCCCCAAATGGTTAATCCCCAATTTTAAAAAAAAAAATTACTCATAATGTCCATCATTTTGATACAACAAACCAAAATTAGCCCCAATAAAAGTTCATGTAGAAAAAACCGTCCAAATTTTTAACTTTGTTTTTAATTGGACCAACATTGAAACGAATTTTAAAATTTAAGAGGTAAATTGTCAAAATTAAAAACTGAGAACCAATTTGCTAAACTCCAAAAGTTGAGAGAGTGTCCGTACAAAAAATCCAAAACTATAGGTATAAAAATGACATTTTCCCTAATCTTTTTTCTCTTTCTCGAACCTAATCATTATCCCCTAATAAAGATAGAGAAGGTAGCATACATCTGATTTTGTTGAGAAAATTGCTTGACTTACCTTAGAGTGTATGAATTTGAATTTTTATTCCTTATTATTAATTAATATCCTTTTGATTAATATAGTTATGTGACTAAAAAAGATATTAATCAACAGTAAGAGATAAAAATCTAAGAAATTTTAAGTTTATCTATTACTTTTTCTAACTCTATTATTTATGCTAGTACACAAAATTGTAATGCCACTACGGTAAATAACTTGCAGGATGTGAAGTGATAACCTGTAAGTTATGAAAAATAACTTTTATAACCTGCAGGTTACAAAAATATCCTACAAATTACTAAAATTAACCTATAGACTGTGAAAAAATAACCTTTAAATTATTAATGATATAAGATAAATTTAATAACAATGATATAAATAAAGTTATGTTATTTATTAATGACATTTTAAAAATTCTCTTAAAGATCCAAACTATACACTATGGGGGCGTTTGGTATGCAGTAATCTGAAGGATGAGAATGAGAATTTGCAATATTACCATGTTTGGTACAATAATTATAATTTTTAAATTCTTAGGAAAGTGATTACCATGAGATTCACTTTCCATCATTTTAAGGTAATTTGAATACCACCCAACATGGTGTTATTCAAATTCCGAGAAATATCAAAATCACGGGAATCTCTTGTTATTATTATTATTATTATTATTATTATTATTAATATTAATAATATTAATAATATTATTACTATTATTATTATTATTAAAATAATATTATTAATATTATTTTTATTAATAATAATAATAATATTATTATTATTATTGTGGATCTTCTTTCATGTGAACAACCAAACACAGTAATGTAATATTCTTGAGAATTTAAAAAAGATTTCTGTGTTGAACTAAACATAGTAATGTATTATTTTTAAGAATCATATTAACCTCTATTATTTTTTTGAGAATATGATTTTTACTGCGTGCGAAACGCGGCGTAATTGTCTCATTTTCCCATGTTTGTTGGTTGTTGTACATGGACTCTACTACTGGATCAGGCCCTATTAGCTCAGTTGGGCCTTAATTGACTTGAATACCATACCAACAACGACTCAAAAATTACGGCGAAATTTTCAATTTTCTGTTGCACTGACGATTCAATATCATCGACTGAACAAGAAAAAAAAATTACAAATTCTTCCTCTTCTCGGTATTGATTCCTCTTCCCATTAACCTTATCTTTTCAGTTTAATTCGTTTCACGTTCGTCGTCAAATTCCTTTTTCTTCCTCGTAATTTCTCCGTTATTTTTTAATTTTTTTTTATAAAAAAAATTTCGTCGATTTGAACTTTTGAACGCAGAACTTGCAGAGGCTCTGAAAATCCACATTGTTAAAGGCAGAGAAAATTTCATCCTCTTGAGGGCTTCATTGCTGTTTCCCAACGGTACGTTCTATTTTTGGAATTATTTTGATGTTATTATAGCTTATTTAAAGTTATAGTTTTTTTTTTTGGGTACAATATAAATGTTAAATTTCAGTAATTTACTTGTCTATTTTATTCTTTAGTTCCCCTTTTATTGTTAACTTTTCATATTTTCATCTAAAAGCTGGAAAGCTAAAAAGATGGTTTTTTTTTTTTTTTTTTTGCCCTCTCATTTTCCGTTGGGCTTTTAGATTTGGTGTTGGGGTTGTTAATGATTTTATGGGAAATGAAAACCATAAAGAACAAAATGGGAAAAAAATTTTGGTACAATTTTGTTGTCTCTTAGGGCTTGTTCATTTGCTCCCGAACTCAACAAAAATTTGAACTTAATTACAATTTTATTTAAGTTCATGTTATTTTGTAAAATTTAAGTTTAAATTTGAGTTTTAACTTAATTTTGAGGTTAAAATCTGAGTTTAAGTTCCCCCTTTAACTTGAGTTTGGTGCTAAACTCTGAGTTCAAGTTCTTAAACTCAAACTCAAATTAATGAACAATATTTTTTCTATTACTAAAAACACCATAATTTTTTAATTTTAATTCTAATTGCGATTATTTTTTTCCTATGCGTTCACAATGAAGAGACGAATAAAACCTCACCCATATACTTTATTAAATTTTTTTATCACCATTGAGTTTTTATTAAAATACTATCCAAATACAAATTCAAGTTTTGACCGACCCAAACACAAAATCAAATAAATTCTCAATTCAAACCATAACTCAAAATGTGCACATCCAAATACAAACTTAAATTAGAGTTCCAACTCAAACCATACTCAAATACACCTTAACTCAAATCACCCTAGCTCAAAAAATGTAAATGAACAAGCCCTTAGTTTTATGGGAATTGTAAAGTTTTTCTAATGCTTTCACAATAACTGAGGCTTTTTTTTTTTTCTTTTTCCTTCCTAAGTTTTTAATTACAAGTGTATTTGTGTTAAATTCAGTTTCCCTCTTCTTATGTTTGATGGAGTGAAGAAGACAAGACAATTGTGAGTTCTTATTTGGAAACAACTTTCAGAATTAGTGAAATATTGGCAATGAAGCCATCAAACAATATCTGGATTCGAAGACAACAGTGCCCATGTGGAGATTGGAAGTGTTATATCAAGTATGAAGGAGATGATCAGGCCTCAGTAAGTTCTCAGAATGTAAAGACCGAGATGGCAACGATATTGTCTTCATCATCAGAAGCTGTGTTCACTCCCTATGTGGGTCAAATTTTCAGGAGTGACGATGATGCATTCGAATATTACAGCAATTTTGCTCGGAAAAATGGGTTTTCGATCAGAAAAGCACGCTCAACGGAAAGCCAAAACTTGGGGATATACAGACGGGATTTCGTTTGTTATCGATCGGGTTTTAATCAGCCAAGAAAAAAGGCAAATGTTGAGCATCCTAGGGAGAGAAAATCCGTAAGGTGTGGATGCGATGCAAAGCTGTATTTGACAAAGGAGATTGTTGATGGTGTCACGCAGTGGTATGTTTCACAGTTTAGTAATGTTCATAACCATGAGTTATTGGAAGATGACCAAGTGCGCCTACTTCCTGCATATCGGAAAATACAGGAAGAAGATCAAGAAAGAATTCTTTTACTCTCGAAAGCTGGGTTTCCTGTGAACCGGATAGTAAAGGTGTTGGAAATAGAAAAGGGTGTTCAACCTGGACAATTGCCTTTCATAGAAAAAGATGTCAGGAATTTTGTTCGCACTTGTAAGAAGGCAGTTCAAGAAAATGATGCATTGCTCACCGGGAAAAGGGAGAATGATATGCTGGAACTTGTTGAGGCCTGCAAGGCTATGGCAGAAAGGGATCTGGATTTTATTTATGACTATACGACTGATGAGAACGAGAAGGTTGAAAATATTGCCTGGTCATATGGCAATTCTGTTCGTGCATTTACGGTGTTTGGTGATGTAGTTTCTTTTGATACCACTTATCGTTCAATCACTAATGGACTGCTCCTTGGAGTGTGGTTTGGTATTGACAATTATGGCAAAGAAATTTTGTTGGGCTGTGTTTTGCTGCAAGATGAAAGTTCTAATTCGTTATCTTGGGCTTTACAGGTTTGTGGATGCATATCTTAGTGATCAGTTTGAGTCAAGTCTTCATGTTTCATTTATTATTTTCTTCTTTTTGAGCAGAATTTTGTTCGATTTATGAGAGGCAGACATCCACAGACAATTCTAACTGACATAGATTCAGGGCTGAGAGATGCCATAGCAAGGGAGTTACCTACTACTAAACACGTTATATGCATATGGCATGTTTTGTCAAAAATATCCAGTTGGTTCTCTTTGCCTCTTGGACCACAATATGCAGATTTTAAAGCTGATTTTGATATGTTATGTCATCTGGAGAGCATGGAAGATTTTGAACATCAATGGAATCTCTTGGCTGCTCGGTATGGACTTGTTTCAGATAAGCATCTTGCATTACTTTATTCATGTCGAGCATCCTGGCTGTTTTCCTACATTAGAAGTTATTTTCTGGCTCGAATGATGACAGCAGAGTTTGAACAATCTTTAGAGTCGTTTTTTAAAAGAATTTTGGGTGTACAGACTTGTCTGCAAGTATTCTTTGAGCAGGTATGTTAATTATCCCACCCTTTTCTTGCTGTACATGCTTTTCTACGAGTCTATGACCTGTTTTGTTGTCTTGAAGGTTAGTATTGTCGCCAACTCTGGGAATCAAATAAGAGATCGCCTGCACTATACGCACATCAAAACTTGCATGCCAATTGAAGAACATGCTCGGAGTATTTTAACACCTTATGCTTTCCAACTCTTGCAACATGAGCTCGTTCTGTCCATGCAATATGCGATCACAGAAATGGCAAACGGATCATATCTTGTGCGACATTACAAGAAAATGGATGGAGAGTGTCTTGTGATTTGGATACCAGATGATGAACAAATTCATTGTTCCTGCAAGGAATTTGAACAGTCAGGCATACCATGCAGGCACTCTCTTCGGGTGCTTGTAATGAAGAACTTCTTTCAGCTCCCGGATAAATATTTTCTGCTACGTTGGAGGCTAGAGAGTTCCTTGGTTCATACGGATGATCACAACATTCAAAGCAGCAATGACGAATGTGCTCAAGCCTTTCACTCGCGGGCTGCAACCCTATTGACGGAGTCATTAATAGACAAGGACCGTTTCGATTATGTTCATAGAGGACTTACTGGGCTTCTCGAGAGCGTTAGAAATATGCCGGTAACTGATGAACATGCTTCAAACATGGCAGCTAACAATGTCAGTGAATCATAGTTTGGTTAATATCACGGCTAATAAATGCTGTGTTTGGAACCTTCTTCATTCAAACAGATTGGGATATCCGAAGGATGAAATGGAGTGTTGGAGGCACCAAAGTAGTTACTGACATGATAATCTCAGACGACGATATTTTGAACAACATATCAAATGGTAATTTCAGTTTTTGATCAATCCTAGAAAGCCGTATTAGATTTCCGGCAAGCTCCAATTATTATTGATATTGCGGTATTTACATCGAGTATTTATTGAATGTTGATAGGGGCAGGGGAATTGGAAACTGATCATTGATGTTGTATTTTGTAAAATGCAATATTTAGATGATTTCTTTGAAATCTATACTAGGTGCCTTAGCTATTTGAGATTGTTTTTTTGTTAACAAAATTGATTGATGTAATGAAGCATCAGAATTCAGAAGGATCCATCCAAATTTCATTGTCCATTTAAATTTTGTGAGTTTAGTTTCTGCTCTCTGCTCCAAGAAAACTACTGATCCTTTCCTAAGTTGCTGCTTTGACAGATTAAACTGATGAATGGGGGACAGTTATAGTTGAATTCAAAAAAGAGAAACGCTACTCTTTCTGTCACTCTCGAAAATTCACTCAAGGCTTTATCTTTATCTGTGGAATTCCCAAGCACATTAATAAAGGAATATGCTTGTGTGAGCCTGAAAATCAGTTAGTTTTGTAGACTATTTGGAATAATCCTTTGTTTACACTGGCATATTTCAAATAAGTACTTCCAAAAGAAAAGATCAATATTTTGAAGGATAATTCCGTTGTAGGGCAACGGAGAAAAACTACAGATTGACAAAAACAAAATTCTAAGGCCCCGTTTATTTCGTTAATTCGAGTTTAAAATTTGAGTTTTGCTACAGTAAAAAGCTCTCACAAACAATCACATCTAACTTTTTTTCCTATAGTAAAAAGTTCTCACATAAAATCACAGCTCAACTCGAATTAAAAACTCGAATCAGCGAACTAAACGGACCCTAAATCTAAACCGTCAAGACTTTTCACCATTTATGTTGAACTTCGTACCTCTTCCGGCAAAGGAATTATTTTCTTTTGGAATAATTCTACAACTTTAGAACTGAATTGAGTCTTCTCATTGAGCATGTCAAGCCGATTATTTTGATTTTTTTTTTTTTTTTTTTTGGTGTCTTATTTGGGTCAAACAAGTATCATTATCTCTCTCTCACCCACAAATCTACTTATAAGTCCGTGAGGACATACTTTTTTAAATTTCATTCATCGTCAAACTGCTCATTCAAGCACTATACGAGTGGTAAGCGACCATTTTATTCACACGTTTAAGTTAATAATTTTAATTTATTAGTGGTAACTTTATAAGAGAATTATTAGAGAGAAATTTTTTAATTTAAAGTTTTTATAAGAAAAAAATACAATAACAGAATTAGAATTATGAGTTTAAATACATTTAGGTTCCGTTTATTTTATCGATCGAGTTTAAAATTTGAATTTTGTTACAATAAAAAGCTCTCATAAACAGTTACATCTAACTTTTTTACTACAATAAAATTTTTTTACATAAAATCACATCTCAATTTAAATTAACAAACTAAATGGACAATTAGGAAACGGGTCTTAAGTTTGCATAAAGCTTTTCCTTTTCTTTGAATTTTTCAGAATGACATGACATTCATTCACTGATTACATATAAAGACTTGAGAGACAAATATAAGAGAATATATTTAGTATGTTTTTCTAATGTCTTGTCCTTGTTTCACTTTTTTTTTTTTTCCTTTGTCTAAAACTATTATGAAGTGTTGGGTCAATGAACGAAAATATCATATATGAGATCGCTATTCAGTGTCTACAGAGACTTGGAATATTTTTAGGGCATAAGAAGCATAAACGAGAATAGGAAACGACTTTTATTAATAATGTAGGAAAGGGGAGGGAGGGAGAGATATCCTCCACAAAACCTAACCCAAGAATACAAAAAAATAAAAATAAATAAATAAATTTGAATAGGCACTTGTAAATGATTTAGATCTCGTTCATTTCACCGATTTGAATTTTTAATTCTAATTTTACTACAGTTAAAAGCTTTTATAAAAAGTCACATCTAACTTTTTTTATTACAGTTAAAATTTTTTTACATAAAGTCACATATTAGCTCGAATTAAAAATTCAAATTAATAAACTGAACGAGGCCTTAGTCATGCTCGATGTCTCTAGAACATTGACATTTAACACTTGATCTGAAATTTTATCAAATTAAAAATTTAAATTAACGAACTGAACGAGGCCTTAGTCATGCACGATGCTCTAGAACGTTGACATTTGACACTTGATTTGGAACTTTAAACAACGTATCTTGTGGGGAACAAGACATTGTTGGAGTAGCGGATTTGTAATTGACACTTGATGTTGTTTTTTCCTTTTTCTTTTCTTTTTTTTTTGTTTGAATTGTAAGAATAGACAGTGACATACTCATGAGATGTTTGGTTCATAAGTTTAAAATCATGATTCATGATTCTGATTTTAAAATTTAAATTTTTATAAGAAAAAACTACTGTAAAAAATTAAGAATTATAATTCAAAATTAGATGAACTCTTAAAACAAACACCTCATCAAATACTCTCGAAGAAGTAGTGCATTATTGCATGAGAAATGCAGAGGCGGAGCTAGGTGAGGACCGGGGAGCAGCTTCCCCTGGAGCCTACTAAGCTACTAGCTTCTTTAAGATTTTGCTCCCAATTAAAACTTTTTACAATTTTTTCTTTTCATCGCGCCACCTCCCCCAACTTAATTTTTTTTATTACAACATTTACATGGCATTGGTAAAAAAAAGTTTCAATTATACCCTAAGTTTTGATTTTTTGTAAGTATTCTTATTTCAAATTTAAAATCTCTAATAAATCAAAAATCAACTTGATTAGTGCATGAAAATGCACCCTGAATACTGCTTTTGATTTATATAATATTAAAATATTTAAGCTTTAATTAAACAATTATATTATTTTTATTCATAATATTTCTAATTGAAATTTGTCTAGTTTTTGCTTAATTATTTACAAATAAAAAGCAGTGTAAAAAACTACACAAAAATAAGCCATGAAAGCTATATTTTCAACCATCCAGAGCCAAGCCTCTCAGCCGAGCCGCACAAGCCATCAGAGATAGAGCCGAGTCAATTGAGCCGAGTAGTTGAGCCGGCTAAGTCGCATCAGTCCGCGTGGGCCCCAGCTCTTCCATGTTCCCCAACTCTTCCTCCCGCGCATCCCCAGCACGCCCATTCCTTAGCGAGCGCGTTCCTTCCACAGAGCCATCACCGCGCGTCCAAAGCTTCCTTCCGCGTGGGTCCCGCATGTCAGTGTGCCAGCCCAAACCCTTCTTCGCGCGAGACAGCTGTCAACATTGTCCCCTACTCTGACCAATGCCAGCACACGCCAGCCACTCCGAGCGTGACACGTGGCAAATCAATTTTGATCAACCAACCCCATAGCGACACGTGTCCACTGAGTGCAGAGTCCGAATTTCTCCTTCCAAATCCGAGTAAATTGGCCAGATTTCTTCTCCAAATTTCATATATGATTTCTCCAAATTTATGTGTAATTTTATTTTGTTTTGTTTTCTTTTGTAATTTTCTAGTTTTACAATTCATTTCAATGACAGGTAACCTCTGAACACTATAAATAGAGAGGTTGGCCTAAGGTTTTTGAAGCTTTGAATATTTAATTTTTTGTCGTCTTGCTGTCACTCTCATATTTTCTCTCTAGAACTTGTGAGAATGTTTTGCAAGCTAGGCTAGAGTTCTCTTGGTGAGGTCAGAGATGAACTTTTGTTGAGTGATCTAATTTGGGTTTTGATTCCTTGTGCTGTAAAATTCAATATCTGAATGAATTAAATCTCATCTATTTTTTATTTATTTTTCAAAATATTGCGTGCTAATTTTTATATAAGTTTAGTCACGCTTTTCTTATGTAATTTTGTCACGCATTGTTTTGTTGTTCAAATTATTTTACAAATTGTCTTTTATTGCAATATTGTCAAATTGATATATTGTCGATTTTGGATAACTTGTAATGATAATATTTTCAGAGTCAACACAGAGATTTAATTTATTCGATCCTTCTATTTTGTGAATCAAAACTTGAATTGGTGAACGAAACATTAGGGATTCTCGACACCTTACTGTTTTTACTATTGAATTTCTTTTACACAAATCTTCTTTCTTTTTTTATTTACAACAAAGTCTCAAAAACTCATCTTTTTCATTAATTCACTTGTTATATATTTTTCTCTAATGCTCTTATTTTGCTAATCTTTCTTGTTATTTTGTTATCTCTCTGTGGATACGACCACCCTTCTGTGCTACAATTGACCGCTTGTCTCTTTTGGGCGTTAATCAAATTTTTGCGCCGTTGCCGGGGAGGTGCTATTAATAAGACTGATCAGTAGATTTTTGAGCCAAAGAGGTAGGTGCATTTTTGTTTTATTTTTCTCAATTTCTCTTCCTTGATTCGTGTGATCTGCTTTTAGCATATATTAAAACAAAACTTTTATTTGCTGCTTTGTTCTTCGTTTCTTATTTCAAAAAAAAAAAAAAGTTGCTGCAAGTTTCGGTGTGTATTCACTTAGTATTTTATATTTTGCTGCAAGTGTTGCTAATTTGACTTGATATTTATTATTATATATATATATATTTAGTTTGTTGTTTAGCATCTTTAGTTTCTAAAAAAAAAAAAAAAAGGGAAAGTTGGCTGCAGCTTGTTAACGAGCCTTTGTTCAAAGTTGCTGCATTTTTTTTTCTTTTCTCGTCCATTAATTGAAACCAAAAAAAAAAGTTCCTTTTATCATGTTTTTTATTCCCGTAGTTTTGTGTTGCTAAAAAAAAAAAACTCACACTTTTAGGATTTGTTTTAATTGCTAATTTTATTTTTCCTTTTAGTTTTAAAATTGATTGTGATTTGATTTTGTAATCTTTTATTTTTGATAGATTAGGATTTTATGTTGTTTCCATGTTTGAGTAATTTAATTGTTAACTATTATATTGTTGCCTAATTTAATTTTTCTTTTTATAGTTTACATTAATTCTTAGGATTATAATTATGATTGTAATTAATTGACTATTCCTAATCTAGACATTTCATAATTTAGTAGATTTAGGCTTTTGACCTTAGGAATAGTTTCCATTAATTAGATTTCATTTCATAATTTATTCAATAAAATTTAATAATTGATTTTGAGGATAATTATGTGGTTACATGGAAAGTACAATCTGAGGGAGTTCTGTCTAGAAAAGTTGGTACTTAAGTGGGCCTCACCCCACCAATCTTTCCTAGGAACGTTGCTCTGTCTAAGAGACTATTTATTGAGCCAAGAGCTATAGTCTTTCCTGGGAGCACTTTCGGTGGTTACAATTTACGTTACTATATAGTTATT